ACAAGGCATTTGTGCACCGAACATCGAAGCAGCTACAGTGTATGTCGATTGACCAGCACACGGGTTTGACTACGTTTTGACGATGAATGTACAAGTGGAGATCTAGTCCGGCGTGGCATCACACGGTACTTTGCGACAACTGTGGGCACCTTCATTTCAAATCATGAAAACTGTCACCCAAAGGAAGTAATGGCGTTGACAGTTCCTCCATTCCAGGTTCATAGTGAGATGGTTACTCTAGTATAGTAGTATTCGGATAACCTCAAGCTGTGGACAGCATCCTCTGTGGTCCTTTGTGGACTCGTCAGCGCAGCAAAGGGAAAATGTGGCCGAGCCTGACACATGTAGCAATGAAAATATTTTTTGCAAAGCCAGATTTAAATAAGGTCCAAAAACAGGTTACCAGAGTGCTCAAACTGACATGTCAGTGAGCTGTGCATAACGCAGGCAAACAGCAAAGGCACTATCCCGCACGAAATTGCTCACCTACTACAGTTCTGGACAAGGAAACCCAGTGGATTGACCTGGGCCGGTGTCCTCAGTGCGTACAGAACGTTGTGTACTACAGTCATGTTGATCTGATGTGACCAGTGCACTGCAGTGACCAGTGCACTGCAGTGACCAGTGCACTGCAGTGACCAGTGCACTGCAGTGACCAGTGCACTGCAGTGACCAGTGCACTGCAGTGACCAGTGCACTGCAGTGACCAGTGTACTGCAGTGACCAGTGCACTGCAGTGACCAGTGTACTGCAGTGACCAGTGCACTGCAGTGACCAGTGCACTGCAGTGACCAGTGCACTGCAGTGACCAGTGCACTGCAGTGACCAGTGCACTGCAGTGACCAGTGCACTGCAGTGACCAGTGCACTGCAGTGACCAGTGCACTGCAGTGACCAGTGCACTGCAGTGACCAGTGCACTGCAGTGACCAGTGCACTGCAGTGACCAGTGCACTGCAGTGACCAGTGCACTGCAGTGACCAGTGCACTGCAGTGACCAGTGCACTGCAGTGACCAGTGCACTGCAGTGACCAGTGCACTGCAGTGACCAGTGCACTGCAGTGACCAGTGCACTGCAGTGACCAGTGCTGCAGTGACCAGTGCACTGCAGTGACCAGTGCACTGCAGTGACCAGTGCACTGCAGTGACCAGTGCACTGCAGTGACCAGTGAACTGCAGTGACCAGTGCACTGCAGTGACCAGTGCACTGCAGTGACCAGTGCTGCAGTGACCAGTGCACTGCAGTGACCAGTGCACTGCAGTGCACTGGTCACTGCAGTGCACTGGTCACTGCAGTGACCAGTGTACTGCAGTGACCAGTGTACTGCAGTGACCAGTGCACTGCAGTGACCAGTGCACTGCAGTGACCAGTGCTGCAGTGACCAGTGCACTGCAGTGACCAGTGCACTGCAGTGCACTGGTGCAGTGACCAGTGCACTGCAGTGACCAGTGCACTGCAGTGACCAGTGCACTGCAGTGACCAGTGCACTGCAGTGACCAGTGCACTGCAGTGACCAGTGCACTGCAGTGACCAGTGCTGCAGTGACCAGTGCACTGCAGTGACCAGTGCACTGCAGTGACCAGTGCACTGCAGTGACCAGTGCACTGCAGTGACCAGTGCTGCAGTGACCAGTGCACTGCAGTGACCATTGCACTGCAGTGACCAGTGCACTGCAGTGACCAGTGCACTGCAGTGACCAGTGCACTGCAGTGACCAGTGCACTGCAGTGACCAGTGCACTTCAGTGACCAGTGCACTGCAGTGACCAGTGCTGCAGTGACCAGTGCACTGCAGTGACCAGTACACTGCAGTGACCAGTGCACTGCAGTGACCAGTGCACTGCAGTGACCAGTGCACTGCAGTGACCAGTGCTGCAGTGACCAGTGCACTGCAGTGACCAGTGCACTGCAGTGACCAGTGCACTGCAGTGACCAGTGCACTGCAGTGACCAGTGCACTGCAGTGACCAGTGCTGCAGTGACCAGTGCACTGCAGTGACCAGTGCACTGCAGTGACCAGTGCACTGCAGTGACCAGTGCACTGCAGTGACCAGTGCTGCAGTGACCAGTGCACTGCAGTGACCAGTGCACTGCAGTGACCAGTGCACTGCAGTGACCAGTGCACTGCAGTGACCAGTGCACTGCAGTGACCAGTGCACTGCAGTGACCAGTGCTGCAGTGACCAGTGCACTGCAGTGACCAGTGCACTGCAGTGACCAGTGCACTGCAGTGACCAGTGCACTGCAGTGACCAGTGCACTGCAGTGACCAGTGCTGCAGTGACCAGTGCACTGCAGTGACCAGTGCACTGCAGTGACCAGTGCACTGCAGTGACCAGTGCACTGCAGTGACCAGTGCACTGCAGTGACCAGTGCACTGCAGTGACCAGTGCTGCAGTGACCAGTGCTGCAGTGACCAGTGCACTGCAGTGACCAGTGCACTGCAGTGACCAGTGCACTGCAGTGACCAGTGCACTGCAGTGACCAGTGCACTGCAGTGACCAGTGCACTGCAGTGACCAGTGCTGCAGTGACCAGTGCACTGCAGTGACCAGTGCACTGCAGTGACCAGTGCACTGCAGTGACCAGTGCACTGCAGTGACCAGTGCACTGCAGTGACCAGTGCACTGCAGTGACCAGTGCACTGCAGTGACCAGTGCACTGCAGTGACCAGTGCACTGCAGTGACCAGTGCACTGCAGTGACCAGTGCACTGCAGTGACCAGTGTACTGCAGTGACCAGTGCACTGCAGTGACCAGTGCTGCAGTGACCAGTGCACTGCAGTGACCAGTGCACTGCAGTGACCAGTGCACTGCAGTGACCAGTGCACTGCAGTGCATATACATCAACATGTACATGTACATGTAATGCATGTGTGTACTGCTTATCCACGGCTGAATGGCCAGCGCCCTGGGGCCGCTAGACGTGTCACCGGATTTCCATGTCCACGATCCTACGACAGTACAAGAACAGGAGTAAAATACCGAATTTTACGGTGTGTTGGGCTCACCAGAGTCTAAGCCACACCTGCCTTTTCGGGTCCACCATCTGTATTTGTATTGCCATCCGCTGTATAAGCCACCCGCCCGTCAGATGTTGAATGTTTTGGCAACCTAACTTTAAGATGGTTATCATCATAATACAGACAATGGTTTTAAGGTTGAGAAGCATGACCGAAGTTCTACAAAGGTTGTCTACTTTGCCGTTCACTCAGAACTGGCAACATGTACAATGATGAGCTTTGCACCAGTACAATGATGGGCTGCAGTACATGAAGAGTAGCTGAACAACACCATGCATGCTGTATATTCATAGAGTGCTGTAGCGCTGGTAGTCATTCCTAGCATTCCCAGTCATAGCCGCAGGGGTGAGTTTGCAGTTTTTGTATGCATTTCAAAGTGCGGAACACCCCAGAAAATCCGGTACTCAATCTGCGGGCAGAATTGTTTTGCCCGTAGCCTTGTTTTACATGAGAATTTTCAACCCGGGTTGAAAGTCTGTACAAGGGAGAAATATGTGGGTGTTGACATGAAGACAGTTGACTCGCGTCAAATACTGATATGCCGTCAAAAGTCCACTTCTAGAGTCCTATATAATAACGTGAAAGCATTGGCGCAAAATACTCCTTTGCAGTGCTGTTCAAACTTGTTCCGGTGCAGTGCTGTTCAAACTTGTTCCTGTGCAGTGCTGTTCAAACTTGGCGCGAGATATGCACAGAAGTACGGTAGTAAGATTTCTCAATGTCAACCCTCCCTGGGCCCGAGGGGATGGTTGAAATCTACCTCGTTTGAAATTTCAACCCGAATGAAGCGCAATGCGTCATATTAACGCCCCAGTCAATCTGTGGTCAGGGTGGGTTGAAACTTGACCCTGGCTGAAACGCCCAATGTAAACACAGCCTAGTGGACTCGCCAGCGCAGCACAGAAAAAAGAGGCCAAATCGTATACTTTGGTAAATAATGTTCTTAATTTTTTAGGCCGGCAAGAAAATAAAAAATCGCTCCAAACACACACACATACGGTCTCTGGACTGCAATAAAGAAAATAAAAAAATTCGGCCCTGGGCATCATCAAGATTGACTGTAAAAATGCAAGAAAGTTTACAGATAAAATCTGTCTCATTGTGTGTATACCGTATTTTCCAGTGTACATGTATAAGCCGCACTTCCAACGCTCAAAATACACTCAAAAATGTGGGTTGCAACTTTTACTCCGATGATCGGTAATAAATTACTAGGGTTGATGTCTGTATTTTGTGGAAAACAATCTGGGTTGCTGTTTATACTCCAGTGTGACCTATACTCCAGTGTGACCTATACTCTGGAATATACGGTATGTGTGTGAGTGTGTATGAGTGCATGTGTGTGCATGGTGCGTGTTTTTATGTGTGTATGTGTGTGCGGGGCGCGTTGGGGGGGGGGGGGGGGGGGTGGCGGGTGTTCGCGTTCTCGTGTGCCACACCCGATTCTGCTCGTGACTTGAACACTGTTGGTCCTTTCGGGACCTTCTATCATCTCTGGATGGGCACATTATAATAATAATAATTATATTCTATTGTAATGTATGTGCACTTCTGAAGTATAAGACTGTGTATGTATGTATGTGGTGGGTGTTTGTGTGGGCATGTGTGTATGTGTGTATGTGTGTGTGTGTGTGTATGTGTGTGTGTATGTGTGTGTGTGTATGTGTGTACATGTATGTGTAAATGTGTGAATGGGTGTATACCGGTGTGTGTGTGTGTGTTTTGTGTGTGTGTGTGTATGTATGTGGTGGGTGTTTGTGTGGGCGTGTGTGTATGTGTGTATGTGTGAATGGGTGTATACCGGTATGTGTGTGTGTGTGTGTGTGTGTGTGTGTGTGTGTGTGTGTGTGTGTGTGTGTGTGTGTGTGTTGTGTGTATGCCGGTATGTGTGTGTGTGTGTGTGTGTGTGTGTGTGTGTGTGTGTGTGTGTGTGTGTGTTGTGTGTATGCCGGTATGTGTGTGTTTCCATTGTGATACCCTGTTAGGTGTTCACTTCTGACACATTCTCTCACGTGGCTACCTTCGGTTCAAGCAGTTGTCTTTCTGTTCCGCAAGGCATTGCAGTATCACCCAGTGGTACTGTGTATGTTTGTGACTGGGACAAACACTGTATCACAATGTTCTAACTTTTGTCCTGGAGCATCTTGTTTCTTGTTCTACACTAGTGTTTCTCACTGCTGTGAAACATGAACAGGACCAGTATTAGCAGTTTTGTTTGCTCAGGATTTACTTAAGTATTTCAGATTTTTTGTGTGACACATCGAGTATGCATAACCTTCCCAGTAGCAAATATGCATTGGGCAGGCCAACAGTAGATCCAGCCAAGTCCTTACCCACTGGAACAGTTCCAACATGCCTTAAGATGGTGAGCATTGCCAATTACTTTTTATCATACTTGCATGCTTGAATGTGTGCTTGCATAAGTGTGTATGTGTGTGTGTGTGTGCATTTGTTTGTGTGTGTGCGTGTGTGTGTATGTGCGTATGTGTGTATGTGTGTGTGTTTGTGTGTGTGTATGTGTGTGTATGTGTGCGTGTGTATGTTTGTGTATGCGTGTGTGTATGCATGCATTTGCTTATGAACTCCTGCACTGAGTTGTATATCTACATTGTACTTGGATCACTCTCATTGTTACAATCCTATTCTCGATGTGCAGAGGATGATTCTATTGATTGTGTTGGCTGCGTGCTCTTTTTCCTTTCTCTGAAAATCTATTGCATTTTAGCAAAATGTCTCTCTACTAAGTGTCGCAATACGTCATAGAGTTTTTTATGTGACTTTTGATTACAATGAAGAATGTGCAGAATGTCTGAGGCTCTGTTTTCTTTCGATCCTGTTTTGTGGTGTTTTGTGTTAGCATCTTTATTTTAGAAATGTTTGAAAACGTTTAAAAATCCTGCTGCTCACCCTTGTTTGATCTGAAGAGATGCAGTATTGTTAGTTGTCTGATGATTGCCTATGGAGTATGGCCATGAAACTCTTTGTTATAACGATGA